TTGCTTATTCTGCCCTTATGCGTGTAACCACACGCATGCCCTATCCGACCTGATATCCGCACCGTACTGGCTAATCAAAAACTCTTAAACTCCTACGGTAAGCCATGCATATAACTGGTGGTGGTGTATGACATCCTTCTAAGATAAGGTTTTACCACATGCTATGCCTCTCTCACTTATCCCAGCAGACTGCCTGAGCCATCAGAAGTCTTGCTCCATGCAATAGTCAGTATCACAGGGAACGCAGCTCACCCCATCCTATTTTCCTTCTCTCTCCCCGCACATTCCTGTCTAACCCTTGCTTGCTTCCCAGTTTAGACTCGTCGCATCACGTAAGGTAACTTCATGCCCACGTTCAGAGCAGCACTAGTATCATATCACTCTCGCATATTATCGTAATGATTCATTGCGTTGCATCATTCATCATTCGTTTGTTGGGGGTTTCTCTTTTCCTAGTTCATACCCGGCCGCAGTCAGGCTCCTTCTCTATAGAATTCATATACATGTCTGCCTCACTGCATAAATCTCGGTCTAAATCCTCAATCATGTGTCAGCAGAATCCATGCCACCTGGTAAGGTAAAACCCCTGGTCAAGTGGTCCGATCTTAATCTTTCATCCACTTTCCTCCTTTTTGGGGGTTCCCTCAGCGCCATATAATAGAAGAGTTACGACATCTCCGTTCACTCCAATGTACCAGTTTTTTTACAGCAATGGCGGATCGCAGAGCCCTCAATAGTTCCCCAGAAGTTAGCTTGCCGCTGACTTCCGGGGGAACTATGAGGGCTCCACTATCTGCGGTTCTTTCAGGAAGACTGGTATACATTCACTCCGCAGCTGCTTATAATCAGCTCATCACAGGTTTTATGTTAACCATTTACATTCACCTCAATCTCCAGCAGCCAATCAGCGTGCTGCAGCCAAACTTTAAAATGGTTCTCCTCTCTCCTGCAGTCAGCTTTGATTTCAGGTTTTCATGCTGCCACCCACCTCCTCCCCATCCTCCTCCTTTCATCATATCAGGTGCCAGGAGAGCTAATCCAAAGACCTCATCACACCTCCTCTTCATCCCATCTCCTCATCAAATCCAGATCTTCAGCATCATCACCGGTCTAGACCCGGGGGGGGTGTTCCCATATGCTCACCGCTGCATCCCCCCTTTAGATATACGATTTCAGGATCGGGGTCTAATCGCCAAAGACTTAACATTTATCATATGGCATGTGTCAATAAATGTTCTTTAAACAAAATGAAGTCTCTCCTGATTGAACGGACCATTAATCAAAAGGGGTTGCTGGTTCAATACCCTGATATGTCGACATCTACAAGGGTCTCGAGGAAGGCCTTGATGATGAAGGGACTATTTGTTCATGTAACTACAGAGGGATATGCAACAACAAACTGACATTAATCCTGTCCAGAGAAGCCATCCTCAGAGGGAACAAGAGTCCGTTTGTTTGTGTTTGGGGAGGGGTTGCTGGGGTCAGGGGTAAAGTCAGGACGGGATCTGAGGAGAGGTCGAGGGTCGAAGGGAGCTAGGCTAAGGGTAGATATCCAGGGATTCTGGGTAGCTGGGCTAATGGCATTGAGGTCAACTCTGCAGCTGTCCTCAGTGCGTACCTGCGGCTGTAGAGAGGGGGCGATGTTGAGACCCTCCCCGTTGAGCGAACGCAGGC